GTGACTTTTTCAAGTTTGGAAACAAAAAGAAGTCGCACGGGGCTAAATCTGGAGAATACGGTGGATGGGGCAGAAGTTCGTAGCCTAATTCGACCAATTTGGCCATGGCGACGGCGGAGGTGTGAGCCGATGCGTTATCATGGTGGAAGAGCACTATTTCTTCGCCAAATGGGGCCGTTTTTTCTGCAATTCGACGTCGAATCGGCCCAATAATTCGGCATAGTACAGCCCTGTGACCGTTTTGCCCCTCTCTAGGTAGTCGATGTAGATCACACCTTATGAATCCCAGAAAACGACGGCCATCACCTTTCCGGCCGCTGGGGCAGTCTTCGCCTTCTTCGGAGCACTATCGCCGGCTAAAGTCCACTGTTTCGACTGTTCCTTGGTCTCTAGTGTATACCAGTGGATCCATGTTTCGTCGACTGTCACGAAACGACGCAGAAACTCCTTCGGATTGCGCTTAAACATGGTCAGACATTGCTCTGAAGTTGTCTCACGGTTGCGCTTGTTGTCCGTCGTGAGCAAACGCGGCACCCATCGCGCCGACAGCTTTCTCATGCCCAAAATTTCATGCAGGACATGACCCACGCGGTCTTTTGAAATGCCTACGATTTTAGCTATCTCGCGTACCTTCAATCGTTGATCTGACAATACGAGATCGTGAATTTTTGTCACGTTATCCTCCGTGGTAGCCGTTTTCAGAGCACCTGGACGTGGCTCTTCAAAAATCGACGTGCGACCACGTTGAAACTCGTTAAACCAATTTTTGACGGTCGCCACCGAAGAAGAAGAGTCACCGTACACAGCATCCCAGCGCTTTTTGATTTCGCTGCGTGATTTCCCTTTCAAAAACAAGAATCGAATCACCGACCGATACTGTTCTTTTTCCATTTTTCAAAAATCAACGGACACACTTGCTTTCACACGCTCTCAAAAATAAACTACAACTCCAATCCGGCTGAAATCTTGACAGTAACCATCGAGAAGGTTGTACTACGTGATAAAATATTTCTTTTGCGAGAGTGGCGCCATCGGGCGGTGAGGCTAAGTACTTATCGGACCACCCTCGTATTTCGCGCTATCAGCTACGCCAATCCACGATGCTCTACGCGAGCCACAAGGCGAATATATTGTAATTGCGAGTTATGAGGCTTGGCCACACACATGACATTGCACTTGACTTGTGGCGTTCAACTGATAATTTTTGCCGAGCAGTCAACAAAATAATTCTCTCGATTATAACGGCGAAGAAATTATAAAACCCGATATACAATACGACTGATAAATGCAACAACTACAGTTTTTCTTGTCAAAATTGTACTTATAATACAAAATATAAAATAAATTATACTGCAAACCATAGCAAAATTGACAATCAGGTCCGTAAAACTTTGAAAAATAAAATTAAAAAATTGTAACGGAGAAACAGCCATTCCCGCTTGGGTCGTCCGCACAAATTATTTATTTCGAGAATTCGGGAATCAAAAGACGTTCCCATGTCGGAATAACGCATTAGGCAAAACCACGTTAAACGCATGGATTAAGTTCGGAATGAGAAGCGACTCGACGACAAATGAAAACAACAACGGATTAATCTTTTTATCGACCAAAACAGATTTACAAGACGGCGATCTCACGCTAATTTACTCTATGAGCGGTACAACAATCGCAAGCGTGAAGGTGAATCGGTGGCTGGTCAGCCTACCGATTCCCTTTTCAACCCACTTATTACAATCAATATCAACAACCATTTCACCGTTAATTTGGTCGACGGGGTAGCTGGTAAATCTGCCGCAATAACCCAATAACCCATCGGCTGGCGCCTAAGCATACAAGAGAGAGAAACAAGAGGATACGGCACCGACCTCGACCGTCAGCCTCTCTGGCGGTTGGAACACGTCATTAGATGACGTCACTAGTGCGCTTCTACTTGATGAGCGCCTCTCTGGTGTTGTTATCGTTGCTGTTAGTTATCTTCCTCGACCTCTAGCTCGCTCCACAAATATTGCTGACCGTTGTTGCTCGTTGTTATTACTACCGCTACGATTGCTGTTCCTGCTGTCGTTCGTTCGCTCGGTAGTGCAACAGCGACGATGACCGCTCACGCGTGTACCGGCTTACCTCGCCGGTTACTTAGACGCACCGGTGCCGGGTATCCTTCGAGATATGGCTGAGCATAACCCAACCACAACATCCTGGCTGTCGGCCGTGCACCGAGCGTGCCTCCGAAAATGAAACGTCGTTGGCAAGGTCGCGGGGACAACTCGGAAAAACCGTTTAAAAGTTGGTATAATCCACATGCGTGACGTTCAATTGATAGCAATTAAATATCGAAGAAAAAAATTTATCTTTTCTCTGTGAATTAAATAAAGACTGTTATTCAATAAATTATCACTTTCACCACTACTTCTCTCCTTTTAAAAGATTTTTTGGGGTGATGCACCATTACTGTGGATTAAATGATTAGTTGGATTGAGCACTTTTTATACAAAGTTAAACCTTATATATAAGTCGAAAGAAATAACAATAGAAGATTATTTGGAAATGGAAAATTTGAATGATCAGGATTTAAATGTGTTAGAAAAATCTCTATCTCAACAATATAATTCTTAGTAGGTGTTACATACTCTTCAATACATCATTGACTTCGGAACCTGCACTGAAGATAAGAAAAATTGGAATTAATGCCTATGACTTTAGTCTTGAAGCAGAAACTAATTGTAAATCAATTTTCATCGACAACTATGAAAAAACTTATCAAAATGAAAAATGTTAAAAATTTGAAATTTACTGCCTTTCAAAAATAATATCCTCGTCTAAAACCTATTCATAAGTAGGTTTAGAGAATACAATCAAAACAATGAAAATATTTCATTCAAAATGCTTGAACAAGAACAATCTATAAAGAATCGATTTATTCAAGCAAAACAACTTTTACCAGTTCTTAATATTAACTTTCATTGACGAGCTGTTGAAGGTACGAAAGCAATTGGATTGAATAAATTTAAAACAAGGCCTCATATCATTAAGGATTTCTAACTTCGATTATTTATTTCATCATGGAAAGTAATTAAACTTTTAAATACGAAGCATTTAAGTGAAAATACTATTACTTAACCATTAATGATATTCAAATCGTTTATGAAAAACCTTAAGTGACACTTAAATTATTTGACTTGCTATTACATTTAATAATTAAAGAAAATCTCGCTAATATTATATCAAATAACTACACAAGCACAATTTAAAAATTTGATAGAACCAATTTTTAAAATATTTTTAAACATGATTTAATCATAATTACAAAATTTATAGGAGAATTAATCTAAGTTCTAAAATAATTATAATCATGATCTCTTAAAGAAAATTAAGATCAGAATCGTGCAAAGTGACCATAAAAACATATAATAGCCATTTAAGTCACAACTATGTAAGATATTGTCACAAGGATGTGACGGGGCCCTGGTCGGAATGGCCCTCCCTTCCTCCCTCTCTCTCTCTCTCTCTCTCTCTCTCTCTCTCTCTCTCTCGCTCCTTCGCTGTTGCCCTGGCAAATGTGGTGGAAATCAAGAACCGATACCGATGCTCGCACCGCTTTATTTCAGGGCCAATCATGTGCCGGGCATCGCCACTGGGAGCTAAATAGGAGCGAGAGCGGCTGCGGCAAAAAATAGAGAGAGAGGTTGATGCGTCGAGCGTAGTGAGTAAGCAAGCGCGGGCGTCAGCGGCGATCGGCTCGCGAGAACGAAGCCGCGGACGTTGCTCGAGCCGGCACGCGAGCGGTTGAGGAGAGAGTTCGAGCCGAGATCTTGAGGTAGAAACATCGATTGTGACGCCCGAGCACGCGCGCGTTATAAAACCCGAATAGCATAGTATAGAGACAAAGAAGCGATATGACGCCGAGTAGATTGCAGCTAGGAGAGGATTCCCAGCAACGCCCAAGGCATTGAGGACTTCATCTGCCTGCAGCATCAGCAGCATTTCCTGCCAGCAGTCTTCTTCAGGTCAGGTCATCTCTCTCTCTCTCTCTCTCTCTCTCTCTCTTTCTCTCTCTATTGGCGAGTGCGCGACGCAAGGTGCTCGCGATCATAAGCGAGCACAGCGGAAAAAGGCGAACACGGCGAAAACGGCGAAACCCTCCTTTGAGTTTCTCTCAATTTATTGTACGATGCCCCCGTGCATTTATCCGCACGAGCCAAGGTACGCGGCCACAGAAGACGACGCGTTACCGCTCTTTAATTGTGAAACGTTTGAGAATAAATAGTTAAAAGTTATTGAAAGTGATCATTATGTGTGCCCGTCATTCCCTTCCTCTCGATTTAAATCCCAGGACGCCAACTTCGTGACGAGGCCCATCGTCACCGCTACAAAAGAGCGAAAGAACCTCCTGTACCTTCCCCTTTAAATAATTTGTGATACGGCGCTTGGGCACGGGCCCATTGCATGGCTCGTGGAAGTTATCAAATAGATAATTTCCTAAAACGCGTTAAATTAATCATTAGTGTCACAAGGATAAAAGAGAAATGACACAAAAACTTACTCGATTTACATGGGAGAAATTAACGGAAATATATCGAAAAGTAAGTGATTAGAACAGATAAAAATTTGATATTGGTATCACACACAACACTTTCTACCTAATAAGGTCCTTTTGGGTGCTTATAACCTAAGGACTTTCTCTTGTAAGTACTGTTTGGTAAATATATTCCATCATTTTCGATAGTTATTACACGTCTATTGATATATACAATTATGTGTATATGTAATATACACGATTATATTGACTACGAGTATATTGAATAAAAAAGCTTAAATAGTTGAGTTATAGTTAACGTAAAGTTGCAATGAATTTACTGTTTGTTTTTCTTTCATATAAAAATCCTTGCCCTTGTGAAATCAACAAGTTAATGATAAATAATCAACTTCTTCAACAATTTACAAGTGAGGGTAACAGTTAATTTTAAAAAATTCAAAATATCAATATTTTATTCAATACTTACAGTTATATTGTCTAAGTTTAAATGTTTTGCATGCCCTTGAGCCTGTATATGCGCACAGAGTTGTCTTACTTTCTCTTTGTTTTTTTGTAATTCTGAATGACTTAATCCGCAATCATCTAAAGCATTTTTATGACTGACATCACATTCAAGAAGACTTAACATTAATTCAAGACAGTCTCTATCCAAATCCATTGCAAGTCTATCTTGACTGAGTACAAACATAACTGTCGCAGTACATAATGCAAGACTCTAAAATGAGATGACAACAATATAAGTATGATAGTTAAAGTAGAGTAAATGTGATTTTACTCGACGCAACATAACTTAGTCTAATATTTATTGTCTCCTATGTATGATTCCTTCATAATAACATTTGTGCAAATTTTTACTCAGAAGCTTTTCGCTCAACATACGAGCTGTGTTCAAAAAGTAAGGTGACTTTTCAAATTTCACGGGCAACGTACTTTCGATTATCGATTTTTTTGTTTTGTTATATTGGTACACTCTTCCCGAACATCTGTACCAAGTTCCAAGTGTATAGCATTTTTTGTTTGGTTGTGAGAGGCGCAAAGGTTATAAGTGTTTTGCGTGCTCGGCGATTTCTTGCTATCGAAAAATATGGATCAAAGGATTTGACTCAAATTTTGTGTAAAAAATAAAATAAAGTGCTCCGAAACACTTGAATTGTTGACGGTGGCATACGGTGAAAATGTTCTGAGTAAAAAAAATGTTTACAAGTGGTACAAACTCTTCCAAGATGGCCGGGAAAATGCCAATGACGAGCCTCGCTCTGGACGCCCAAGCACGTCAAGATCTGATGAAAACGTTCAAGCAGTGAAGAAAATTGTTCTGGAAAATCGTCGAATCACTATCAGAGAAGTTGCTGAGGATGTTAGTATATCGCTTGGCTCGTGACATGAAATTTTTTCTAACGTTTTGGGCATGAGACGTGTGTCAGTAAAGTTTGTTCCGAAATTGCTAAATTTTGACCAAAAGAACCGTCGCATGAGCATCGCTCAAGAATTGTTGAATGACGTCAACGACGACCTAGATTTACTCAAAAGGGTCATAACTGATGATGAATCATGGATATATGGTTATTATATCGAAACCAAAGTCCAATCGTCCCAATGGAAGAGCCCAGATGAGCCAAGACCGAAAGAAGCACGCCAAGTTCGATCAAATGTCAAAGTTTTGCTCACTGTTTTCTTCGATTACCATGGCGTGGTGCATCAGGAGTTCTTACCATAAATACGTCAATAAACAGTATTATCTTGAAGTTATGCGTCGTTTGCGAGAAGCAATACAAAGAAAACTCCCAGAATTGTGGAAAAACAATTCATGGCTTTTGCATCACGATAATGCCCCTGCTCACTCATCTTTGCTTGTGAGAGATTTTTTGGCCAAAAGCAACATCACAATCATGCCTCAGCCACCATATTCACCGGATATGGCCCCATGTGACTTTTTCTTGTTCCCAAAACTAAAGAACCCTATGAAAGGACGGAGATTTGCAACGATTGAATAGATAAAGACTGCATCGCTGGAAGAGCTCAAGGCTATACCGAAAAGTGCTTATGAGAAGTGCTTTGAGGATTGGAAAAAACGTTGGCATAAGTGTATTGTATCTGAGGGGGACTACTTTGAAGGGGACAACATAAGGGACAACATAAATATAGATAAATAAATAAATATTTTTTCTTAAAAATACAAAGTCAACTTACTTTTTGAACACACCTCGTATATCTCAATTAAAAAATAACCTCCAGACCTCCACGTGGATTTATTTTAAAGGTTTATCGAAGTTCCTCCAGATGGTATATTCAACAGCTGAGAAATTTTCATTCAATCTGATAGAATAGCAATTGTAGTAGAAAAAATGAAACTTTCAGTCCACCTTTTACCAAAAGAAAATAAAATTATAAAATGCTTTAAAAGAAAAATTAAACAAAAAACACACTCCGGAAATATTTTCAATATAACATTTAGATTAGCTGAAAGCATTTTACGAATAGAAAAAATATTAAAAACTTTATTAAAATACTAATATTATAAGAATTAATGCTTCATACTAAGCTAAAATTTAAGTAAAAAATAATTCCATACTACGAGGGTAGTCCGATAAGTACTTAGCCTCATCACCCGATGGCGTCACTCTCGCAAAAGAAATATTCTATCACGTAGTATAACCTTCTCGATGGTTACTGTCAAGATTTCAGCCGGATCGGAGTTATAGTTTATTTTTGACAGCGTGTGAAAGCAAGTGTGTCCGTTGATTTTTGAAAAATGGAAAAAGAGCAGTATCGGTCGGTGATTCGATTCTTGTTTTTGAAAGGGAAATTGCGTAGCGAAATCAAAAAGCGCTTGGATGCTGCGTACGGTGACTCTTCTCCTTCGGTGGCGACCGTCAAAAATTGGTTGAACGAGTTTCAACGTGGTCGCACGTCGATTTTTGAAGAGCCACGTCCAGGTGCTCCGAAAACAGCTACCACGGAGTATAATATGACAAAAGTTCACGATCTCGTATTGGCAGATCGACGATTGAAGGGGCGCGAGATAGCTAAGATCGTAGGCATCTCAAAAGACCGCGTGGGTCATGTCCTGCATGAAATTTTGGGCATGAGAAAGCTGTCGGCGCGATGGGTGCCGCGTTTGCTCACGACGGACAACAAGCGCAACCGTGAGACAACTTCAGAGCAAAGTCTGACGCTGTTAAAGCGCAATTCGAAGGAGTTTCTGTGTCGTTTCGTGACAGTCGACGAAACATGGATCCACTGGTATACACCAGAGACCAAGGAACAGTCGAAACAGTGGACTTTACCCGGCGAAAGTGCTCCGAAGAAAGCGAAGACTGCCCCATCGGCTGCAAAGGTGATGGCCACCGTTTTCTGGAATTCACAAGGTGTGATCTACATCGACTACCTGGAGAGGGGCAAAACGGTCACAGGGCTGTACTATTCCGAATTATTGGGCCGATTCGACGTCAAATTGCACAGAAAACGGCCCCATTTGGCGAAGAAAAAAGTGCTCTTCCACCACGACAACGCACCGGCTCACACCTCCGCCGTCGCCATGGCCAAATTGGTCGAATTAGGCTACGAACTGCTGCCCCATCCACCGTATTCTCCAGATTTAGCCCAGTGCGACTTCTTTTTGTTTCAAAACTTGAAAAAGTCACTCGCCGGGCAGAAATTTGAGTCGAATGAGGAGGTAATCGCTGCCACGGAAGCTTACTTTTCAGACCTCGAGGAAACGTATTTTTGAGACGGGTTAAAGAAGTTGGAGCATCGCTGGACCAAGTGTATCGAACTAAAAGGAGACTATGTTGAAAAATAAAACGCCACTTTTTCAAAATTTTCGTTTTTCTTTTGTAGGCTAAGTATTTATCGGACAACCTTCGTATTTAGATAATTTGGAAAGATCTATGATGAAATTTTTCTAATTATTAGATAATTTCTGTGTACCTGAAGTTACTTAGGTCTAAAAAGTTTCATATTTTTCGTTACGATAATTGTTCTACTAAACTCGAGAAAAATATCTTAGTATACGCATTATAAACAAGGTCTTTTCGGAGTATCGGGCCTATCTTTATATCACTGCACCATAATGTTAGAGCTACCTCTGCAGGGCATGAACGTCAATAGTAAAGCCTCACTACCTATCAGTTGTTGCTCACATCTGCAGAACGTATAGTTCATACACAGTGCGTTTTTGTTTAAAAAAGTTATTTTTGCGTTTGGTTAATTTTATGATTACTAAAAATGACTAAAAATGAAGATCAACAAATTTGCATCAAATTTTGCTTCCAATTCAGAAAAATAAGTTCGGAAACTATTCAGATGATGCAAAAGGTCTTTGGAAACGAATGTATGAGCAAAACCAAATAAAAGATTGGTATAATACTTTCAAAGGAGGCCACATTTTTGTTGATAGTGATTCTTGTTTTAATCGTCCTTCAACGATGAAACATTGGATAATATTGAACGGGTGCGACTTGCGATCGAATAAGATATGGTATGATTGTGCGGGAACTAGAAGAAGACCTTAGAATACTTAAAGCTATAATTTGCAAATGCTCATTGCAAAGTAGAAAGAGCTTCCCTTACAAATTGCTCAGGATAACTAAGTAATGGTTAATAACGCTGATACTATGCTTAAAAAGGTTATTACTGGTAATGAATAATGGGTTTATGGTTATGATCCTGAAACAAATCAACAGTCTTCACAGCGGAATCACTATGGATCGTCAAAGTCAAATCAATATCGATTGTTTTTCTCGATTGTTAAGGTGTAATGCCTCATTAATATATACTGACAGGTCAAACAATCATTAAAGAATATTACCTTCAAATTTTGAAACATTTGCATAAAGCAGTAAGAAGAAATCGCCTGTAATTCTAGTCAAGTAGTAAATAGCTCCTCCATTACGATAATGCACCAGCGTATTCATCGAATCTTATGTAGTAATTTCTGAGTTAACATAGTATTGCATTGCTTCAAAAACCTCTGTACAGTCCTCGCATAATTCCCTGTGACTTTTGGTTGTTTCCAAAACTCAAATGAACCACTCGAAGTACAGCATGTTAATAAGAAAACGACAGCTGAAAATAATGCAAATGAGCGTATTCGAGGCCATCCCTGAAAGTGAGTTCCAGGATTGTTTCGATAAAAAGAAACATCACTAGAACTATATTATTCAATCAAAAGGGAATTACTTTAAAGGATGCCGCCCAATGGTAAAGAATAACGCCCGATGGTAAAGAATAACGCCAGTGTGAATAAAGACAGGCCCGATACTTTCCGGACAGACCTCGTATATCATTGAATGTTAAAAAATATCTTTCTAATATGTTGGTCTAAAAATCCGTAGATGGATTTGCAATTCACATCTAACAATGAAAAAATTATACGACTATTGCTGCGGAGACGAATAAAGTGTGTCGATGGCAGAGTATCTCATAAATTGAGAAAGAACTATTCCATAATTCCTTCGAAATTATCGTCCAGATTTTTATTAACAAATCATCCAATATTGTATATGGTATAACATATTCACTTTATTTGTTGTCCTCACAAATTTCATAAAATTATGTTCATCTTTATATCAAATATACCATTCGAAAGAGCTTCTTTTCATACTACGGTTACAATAAAACCATGAAGATTTATAGGACCATATTTGTCTGAGACACAAAAATTAACAATTTGTATGAATATGACTATAAAGGTATGTGTATATAAGGTCGAAGGCGTAAAAGTGTTAAAGCATAGGTATAATTATATTTTTATTTACCTGATCGTTTGTCGCGTCATACAATGCTTTGAAAAATTTGGCCACAGTACCATGAGCACGGACATGCATACGGAAAGCTGGTGCCATGCATTTGCTTGCAAGTCGAATAGCTGACAAACAGCGTGTAGCATTTGGATTATTTTCTCTAAGAGTATCTAAAATATACTCAATGTCATCATTGAATTCTTGAAACTCACCACTTTCTTGAATTTGATGTGCCTTCTTGACATTCTTAACAACAGTGTAAAACTGAAAACAGAAAAATTTATATATCTACCTCTCGAAAATTTTGAAATTTAGTTACTTTTTTTACTAATTTACTTTTTTTTACTGATTATAAATATTGTAGGTAAAAACATTGTAGTACATCAATGTAAGCTTGTATATTATATTTTAATTTAACGTTTCATTAACTAGATTTATCAACCTAATCAGAACCACTTTATTGGAGCATAACAAATACAATCGAAATAAATAATAAATCAACAATAGTACATTGACACATACATAAATATTTTACATACATAATTTAACAATTTTACAATCTTAATATCGTTTAAAATTGAGTTTAACAATTGGCTGAAATCAAATAGTACAATCTGCACTTTACCAACTCATTTCCTTTCCTTCTTAATAATGGTATTAGTGGATCATAAATACTACTGGAAAAAAATTAAGGGAACAGAAAAAATTCCTATATTTTTTCGGCGATTTTTATAGGGCTGTATTTTTGTGAAAAATGATCATATAGAGATAAAGAAAAAGCATTTTAAAGCTTCAAGTTTCTTGTTTCAGGATTTTCCAATTTTTCATTTGCTATCTGGATTCTGGACTATTCCAAACAAGAAAAGGAGTGAGAACAAAAATTTTTTGTTTACTTTTTTGAGTCCACATACTTCGGAAATTTTTTTCGTTCGTACAAACATAAATTTCAGTTAGCTTATTTATTCAGCTTAAATTTCGTTTTTTCTATTTCTTTTTGTCCATTTGTCACTGAGATATCGAATTTTTAATGAAAAATGCTTCTGTTATTGTCTATCGCCAATATCGCAATAATTAATAACATCGGAAAAAAAAAGAAACTAGACTTATCTATCTTTATGTATTTTGATACACTGCATCCGAATCCGAGGTTGGTTTTGTCCATATACCCCCAAATTTTTTTTTAAACCGTGAAAAACCATAAAAAATCGCGAAAGATCATAAAAATTTGCATTTAGGAGCATAATTTATTTATAATACATTTTTTTGTGAGCGTCTTATGAATGATTTATGTGAATTTTAGTCGTCTAAAATGAAATCTGATGAGTATATAACTTTTATATTCCAAAATTAAAAAATGTCAAAATCTTGTAAAACCGCTCAAAAAATAAAAATATTGTGAAAAAGACAAAAACGTAAATCGTGGCATTCAGGAAGTTCTTTTTCTTTTCTAAATATGATTTTTGTTTTTTATTTGTTTTTTTTTATGATGCCAACTCTGTTTGCTTTACTCCTTTTTCCTCTTGTAACGAACTCTCTTTTCTTCGAATCATCTGTGCAAAGGAGTTCTTTTTCTTTCTCTGTTATTACTTACAATAGCTCTTTTTACCATCTAGAAAAAGTCTGCTATCATGGTAACGTCATATTTGTCCTTTATATCGACTTTTCATTATACTTATATCTCCTCTTCTACTCTTAAATTGTCCACATCCATGTATTCAGACGTCCCAGTTTCATCCTCGATTATGAATTTTTGAGGGTTTTTCATTGAAGAAACGTCTGCATACACAATTCTAAATTTAGTAGTAATGTGAAAATCAGTAGTATTAGTCATACAGGAGTAGCAGTCTTTTTGGCTTGATGGAGCGGACTATTTCAGTGGTTATGTAAATTTACAATTTTTTTGTTAACTAGGGCAGATTTTGAATCAGGGCCGAAGAACGCTATACGACCACCATTGATTGATCCATCTAAGTATCTGCTTCCTCCACTTCATATCAAACTTGATCTTGTGAAACAGTATGTAAATGAGATTTTTCGTGCATTTAGGAGAAAATTTTCCCGCAATAAGAGATGCTAAAATGAAAGAAGGTATTTGTGATGATTTTCAAATTCGTGCTCTATTTTATAATAAAAATTTCATGACAAAAATAACTGCCAATGAAAAAGCCACATAGTAAAATTTAAAATCTATATGAGAGAACTTCTTAGAAAATAAAAAGAGTGAGAACTATAAGGAACTTGTCGAAGAAATGTTAAAAAATTATTCAAATTCGGATTGCTTGACAGCTATAAAATACATTTCTTACATTCTCATCTTGATTACTTCCCTTTTAATCTTGAGCAAAGAACAAGGAGAATGGTTCCATTTAAATATAAGTGTAATGGAGAATCGATACCAAGGAAAATATGACGTTAACATGATGGCAGACTTTTGCTAGATGGTAAAAAGAGCTATTGTAAGTAACAGCAGAAAAAGAAAAAGAAATTTTTTAACAGGTCATTTGAAGAAAAGAAAGTTCGTTACAAGAGGAAAAAGGAGCAGAGCAAACAGAGTCGGTGTCATAAAAAAAAAATAAAAAGCAAAAATAAAATGTTTTGCTCTCATATGCAGATTTTTACTATTTTTCTCGATTTTTTATGGTTTTTCACGACTATAGAAAATTTTGAGGGTGTTTAGGCAAAACCAACGTCGGATTCGGATTAAACGTATCAAAATACATAAGGATAGATAGGTCTGGTTTCTTAAACAGACCACTATTGTTTTGTGTGCCGGTGTAATCGTACAACAAATAGAAAAACAGTTTTAATAACTAGAATGGATTCACTATAAACCCTATCCATTGGTTACTGGTAAAATTTACTTTCAATCTTCGGTAATAATTTTAAAAAAGTAAGAAAATATGGCTTTTTGAGTTTTGGAAATTCTGCCTCAACTTGACAATCCTACCAATTTTCAAAGCAATCGATCAAGCCGTTTTTCCGGATCGAATCATCAAGCTTTTATAAAGATTTAAAGGAATATGTTTTTGTTCCTTAAATGTTAATAAATTATGATAGTAATTAAAACATTTTTTTTCTTCAAAAATTGCTTACAAAATTTAAAAATATATTGCGTTAAATTTATTACTTGTCAGGCTGGGCGTGTCTTAACTTCACTATATAAAAAAAATTTCAATAATTAAAAAAATGGATACCTCCAAGCTGTATCCTTACTCTACCCTACGGTTTTCATGCGATTACATTATGCAAACGATTTTGTTACTTCTTGCGATTTTAAATTGGACTTTAAACGGACCATTTTTTAAACTATTTTTACATCATTTCTATAACGGATAGGAAAATAATTAATAAAAAGTTTTTGTAAACTTTGAATTTATTTCTATTTCTGAATCAAGCCTCGCCGATCCTTATCTAAGCTAGACATTCCTTGATTTATCTCTTATTAAAGAGGATTCGGATTAGGTTACAGTGATGTCGGTAACATGTTGAGCATCAGCGCCTTAGTTGTGTATCGTTTCATTGCACGTTACCGAGATGAGTATGCTCGTCGGTCAGGACAGGTCGCCAACGGGTAACAACTCCTCGAGATGTTTGAGCACTTATTCATCGTATTTGTCAAGAACCGTTTGTTCATGTAAATGATGTCAGCCAATATTTTTAAATCGTTAATTGCAACATTAACAACAGTATCGATAACAAGGACAAGGACAAAGAAGTATTTCTTACGGGATAGTTATCAACCATTTTCAAGAATCTGGATTACGAGTCAGGCATCCGAGCATGTGCCAATATGAAATAAATTTACATGTCGACGTCAAAGTCGTTCAATAAATAGTTCGATAATAGTCAATCCTAATCTAATGATTGTAACACTGACCATCATGTTTATGAACTGTAAAACCTATACAATATCGTAAGTAGTAACTAAAATAATGAATTTTCTATAACTAGAAAACATTCAAGGCGAATAATGATAGCGGTGACATGGACTAGGCGTATTTTTATAATTCGAAAATTAAGGAGAACGAAATATGATAAGTGTGGACAAAGAGAGACCACAACATACGTGTTAAGAGACAACCTGATCAGCATGCATGATAGCCATATCGACAATGATAAAAATTACGTTTTATACATACATAAAAACGGGCACAATATACAAAGTATAAAACTGTAATGTCATTATACAAGCTTCAAACAATATCAAATTTGAATTAACCCTTTCAGGGGTGCAATTAAACTGAAAATCGTACCAAATCGTTATAATCATATTATATTTTTAGGGTCACTGATTACAAATCCGAAGTCAAAATGTAAAAATTCAAAATGGCATCGGCAATATGGCGGACCCCATATGCCAAATTATAAAATGTGCAAATAAAAAAAATAGTAGAGTATTCTGCATATATTTTCAAGTAAAAAAGTTTTCTTGGTATTTTGTTCGAAATTGCATAGCTTTTGAAAAAAAAATATTAAAATTTTCATCAAATGTAGTTGATTAAAAATTTTCCAACTTTTCCAATCTGTGTTGCTCAGAAGTAATTGTTGTTACATTCATTTGATTTTAGACTCACTTATCACAAATTCGAAATCAAAATTTGAAAATTTTAAATGGCTGCGGTAATATGGTGGACCTGAAGCAAAAAATGTGGAAATATACAAATAAAACCAATCATACTGTGTTCTGTATAGAATTTCATGCAAAAAAAACTCTATAGATATTTTGTTCAAAATTGCATAGTTTTTCAGAAAAAAATACGTTCGAATGACACAGTCAATAAAAAAATGCAGAAATTCTCCCTCTTCGCATTACCTAGAACTAACGATGTGAATGTAGAGAGAAACTAGTTCCTTTTTTTTGTTTTTAGTATTTTTTTGTTTGTTTTGTTTTTTCATTTTTATTTAGAAATTTAACAGGTTTTGGCATTTATAACACATAATAAATATAACGTTTTGCATTCAGTATTCTTAGAAAAAAATTAAATTTTGCTTATATTATTTTCTATGAAATATCTTCATAGAATATTATTATATATCTCAGTAGAAATATATAATGGCACGTTACATCTTCGAAAAGAAGTAAAAGCTGCAGGAAAATGAGTGGATTGAGATGTTCTCAGTGCTTCAGTTGGTCTCAACTGAACAGACTTTGGAGATTTCTGATTGACAGAGGTTGAACTACTCGTAGCTGCTCTTCCTCGCTTAGAACGTTTAGATACTCCTACTAACTGATCGATAACTTGTAATCGATAATGTTTGAGCAA